GTGAGAAATTTTCGAATCCTGTTCCACGTTATTCTAGGAGCAAAGGGGTAAAAAATCAAATGTCAGTAGCGACCGAATTTTTTTTTCACGGCGGGTTACCTTGCATAACGAAATTCGAAGACGCTTTCAGGGAGGAGAAATGCCGCCCATCTCTCTAGTGCGGTTCTCACTGCAGCGCCTTATATGATCTACTAAAAAAATGAGCGCTTCGAATTACGTGGAACAGCCCACTTCATCACCAAACGTACAGATCCTACCGAAAAATAATTTCAAAACCCACAGCTTTTTCTGATGAAGTCCTCGGAGCTGAAATATCGTGGCAGGACCTCCGCATGTCACGAGCATGTGGATCAATATCGTTTTCCTTGGACAAACCGTCAAATGTGGTCAGAGGTGGTGTCAAATTCAGGTTGTAAGCGGAGGCTGCCAGTGGTTTGCCGCAACGATCCAGTGCTTCACCAGCCTCTTTATGTACGACATCTAAAATGAATACTGTATTCACTCTGTCCTACTTTACTAGTGAACCTTCTTCTATAAAAACACTGAGAATCCCTAGTTGACAGTATTTGACGTACACGTTTCCTGATGTCTCGTCGGTAAACAAACGTTGCCTCAAGGATTAGCTATTGAGACAACATTCTCGTTCGCTTTTTTCCCAGCTGAGTGAATTAAGTCCTGGTCCGTGACCTCTCTAGGGTCACACGAGAACCCTCCCGAGACGATGCTCGGTGAAACTCAAAAACTACCCAAAGATTCCGTCTTTAACATCGCAAAAAGGAGGTCTTTCCTGAGGTGGAGCACCTTTTCAAAAGTATTAAATGTGCTTTTACCTTTGATAAGGGCATGCGCACGGGCTATGAAAATCGGGCCTGTTTATCCGAAGGTAACTCTAGGGGAACAGGAAAGAAAGGAATGAAAGTCCTTCTTCCACGACTCGCTGTCTCAGGAACAGCTCTGTCGGTTTTGATTTCAACTAAGACCTAGCCAGAATGCACAATTTTTATGGGAACTCGGGATATCCGTGAGAAGGGTAATGAACCGACCATAAATGTACTGCTCGGATGTCATAATTTAGTACAGGCCAATGTACGCAACTAACAGCATTTTCCCTCATTCAAGGGTACTGGAAAACATTACATTTCTTATTATTGCATTACTAATCACGCTTTGCACGGCTCTGTATACACATATATTTGAAGCAACACCTTGAAGTGCACTTATTTGAAACCTAGAGGAATAAATAGCACTTGGAGCACTTAGAACTTTTTCACGCTGATGATGTAGGCGGGGTCAACTGCTAATTGACTCCGCCCACACAAAGTTCTTGAGTGCTCTGCGCCCTTATAATCAGTTAGCCTCTCCTCCCAGATCGTAGCTGTTTGGAAAAAAGCGTTCGAGGTGTACGAAAAAGGCACGGAATTTATATCCATTCCATGATTGAACTGTTTCCTAGTCCTTCACTGCTTCCATCATGGCGCGATGTGCGTAAGGACTACACAGGACGGGAGTCAGAATCGGTCGCGCTGGAGCAGGGGTCGTATCCAGTGTGGCGGAGCTTTTTCAGATTATTAGTCTTTCTCGTCCCGTTCCCCAGCATCTGAGGCCAGCACCGCGTCAATTTCATTACTTCTGGTAGCCGGGCTAAGACGCCCTCCCTTCTGTTTTGGACCAGAACTTCATGCCGAACTTGAAACTACCTTCTGCGTTCATCTGATCTACAAATGCTTTCTATGGAGACAATAATGCTATTCGCAAGCGCAGCGGATGCACTACTTTCGTGACCGAAGAATACGTGAGGGAAGCGCGACCCGCTCGCGACGAAGGCAATGCCCCGACCACAGCTTACTGCTATGCCCAACTTTCATTTCTATGAGGTTCCCGATTGTACGATTGTTCCGCTACCGGCACGCTCCATTCCGAAAGATCAGAGGTGATAAGGGAAAAGAGCTAACACTTACAAGTGAGATTCGGGGTGCAGTCGGACTCGGTGAGGCCACGGAATGGTAGTCAGCAATGCATGTACAGGCTATCTAGCTCCAGTGGCTAGGAGTCAGCTACACCATTTCAGAGCTTCACAAGTGTTTGCAAGTTCTACCACAGTGAGACGTGGTATTTAATACGAATTAACAAAAGGGACCAGTGCAAAATGCCCCTCCGAGCAGAACAACGCCTGACCAAGTCCATTCTTTGTCTCACCTGCACACAAGATCGGTCGGCATGCAGTTCTATACATAGCCTATCCCGCAAGTTTTCGCTGCATTTTTCTTAGCTTCTGAGTTATTTACCACCTTGTCATCACTGTTTGGGCCGCAAAACACACAATTTTTGAAAGCGGCGCACGCCTCAAAATATAGCGCTGCAAGGCATACTTCCGCCTCTGAAGGTTTCATAATCAAGTTCTGCTTTCCATCGTTACCTGAGTCTTCCCTGAGGAGGGGTGCACATGCCAGCATTTTTTGGCGATTCTGGCAGTTCACTGAGATGGACTTATTCGCAGCATGTTTTGGACTTGATAGTCTTCAGC